CCTGCTCTCCTCCTCCCCACTGCTCTATCCTTAGCATTCCTTCACTCCTAGATTTTTTCCCTCTGTTTTTTTTTTTATGGGAAACTTATTATAGACTTTTTTTTTTTGTTCCAGGGCAGGGAAAACCCAAAAAGAAGAAAGGAACTTTTCCAGCACCTCCCCTTGACATTTTCAATTGGCTGAAGCTTTTACTGACATCATTCCAATCTTTTTTTTTTTTTTCCAACTTCTGTCCTCTACTCTCTCTAAAAATACAGTATGTCACTGGAACACTGGAAGGGATGTTTGTTTTAAAAGATCCAGGCTTTTGACAGGATGCTCCTTGGTTGGTCAGGAAGGCTCCCCCCTCTCTTTGCGATTGGGTGTACAAGCTGTCTTTTGGCTAGTAGGGTGCTGAGGAGAGAGGCCATGTCTCTTTATGATCAAACGGGAGGAAAACTGCTACAGCTGTATATAACACAGGACAGCAACAGGATACTTTAAAAGCAGAAGGATTTCTGCCTTAGTTAATAACTCTTCGTTACAGCTAACAGATAGATAGATAAATGTTATTAACCTTTGTCTGATTTATCTTTTATAGTTATTAGCAAGTGTTGTTTTATTATTTCATATTTTGTAAACTTTTGCATCCTTGTCAAAACACATTTTCCCCTTTTTAATCCTTGTGTGTTTTGTTCTTTCTCTGCTTTTCCTTCCCTCTGCTGGCGTCTTCCCCTGTCTTGTCTTCCGCCTGCAGTCTGAATGCTGATGTGTCCAGTCACTGGAAGCAAAGAGGCCTGGATGTCATTACTGTAATAAATCTTTGGCTTGCAGCTATCACATATGATTGGTTCTCCTGTATGTAAACAAGGAAAAAGAGCAGAGACATCCACTCGATTGCAGTACTTGTGCGCAGACAGAGGAAACTAAAGACTAATATATGGGAATATAACATTTCATTTAAAGGCATAGTGTGCTGCAATGCATCTGTACTTTTTGTTTCAATTATTTTTGAGCCTTCCAAGTACAAGAAAAAGATCAAATTGTAGGAGTTAAAGTGACAGTAAACTCAGTAGTTACGTCTTAAAAATGCATTCAAGTACCTTAAAGGAGAACTATGTGGATAAGGCTTTTACCCATAGTTCTCCTTAGGGTAACCGGAGGACACAAACTAGCGTCCTCCCATCACCCTAAGCTTAGGATAGCGCGAGCTACAGCTCGCGCTATACTGAGACGCCGCAGTATACCCTGAGCCACAGCTCGCGGTATACTGAGACCCCGCAGCTGAAGCGGATCCTGACAATTATATCTGGATCCGCCCAGCAGCGTGAGTGACAGCTGGCTCTGCCTATCTAGAGGCAGAGCCAGCTGTACCCGCCCCCTCCCCCGTCCGTTCCGCCAGTCAGCGCTGGAGGATCGGAGCAGGGAGGGGGCAATCCAGCCCCTCCCCTGTCACGGCAGAGAGCCGTGACAGGATTGAGAAGTGAGCGAACGCCAATATGTGTTCGCTCACCTCCCGATCTACTGAGCCGACCTGTGAAAGTCTCATTGTCACAGGTCGGCTAGAACTATGAGGTGAGTGAAAAGCACTCACCTCATAGTTCTCCTTTAAAGTAGAATGAAAGTTTTTCTTTATTTTTGGGGTATATAGCTACTGCTAGCAAGCAATATGTATATGCCCCATGATTTAAAAATAAAAAGTAGGCAAATATCTAATTACTTACCTGTTCCAGCGTCGCTCACTCCCGGCTAAAGAATGTCCGGCTCCTGAACGGCTGTAAAGGAGGAAGCGTGTGGGCGCATGCGCAGTAGAGCGGAGGGGAGACAACAGACAATGACAGTGATTGGACGCAGCCGGGCAGTCGGGAGCATGCACGCCGAACAGACTCCGTGGGACATGAGGAGTCTGCGCTGGATTAGAGACCAGCACCAGCACTGTAGGGACTGTCAGAAACTAGTGGAATAAAGAAGATGATCGCATCAACAGGCATCAAATAAGGTAAGTGCTTACAGCAGCATTGGGGGAAAGACAAAAAAAAGCCTTTAATGTCACTTTAACTATTAAAAAAATGTATGTTATTTGTTTATCACTCTATCTATCAGCTGTAGATCCTTAAATCATCTCTAAATTGGTGCTCTAAACTGTCCTTCCTTCTGGAGTGTGGCTGTTCCCCATGTTCCCTGTGTGTGTTGCAAAGTAGCCACTGCTCCAAGCTCACTCCTGTGATGGACTACAATCTCAGGTTTAGTTTACTAATTTGTATTGCATTTATAGTCCATCACAGGAGCGAGCTTGAGTTTAGTGTCACTTTAAATAACAATGTAGCTGCAGTCTCCATTACAATCTTCACTAAAGGCAATGACTGTTTGCACCTGGAGAGATGTCTTTTTTTTTTTAAGTAGTCTAGTGATTTCTGTGTCATTTGCCTACTTGTGGATTGTTCTATAGTTTATTACTAAGCTGTTTTTCTTTAAGGTAAACGTTGCATCTACTGTACATATTTTAACTGTCCCTTCTCTGGTCCATATGTAACCCTTCATCATTTTTAAATCTATGAGTAAGTTTAAACCATTGTTTCCCAACCTTTTTTTTTTCAGCCACTGCACTCTTTAAAAGTATGCAAAATCCTGCTAAGTCAAAAATGTCAAACACGTAAATGTAAAAAATGACAAGTAGCCCCTCCAAAATTTACATCAGACCCCTATCCCAGATAGGGGTTTGGTATGGATTTTAAGAGGGGACACCACATAAACACAAATAAAAAATGGGGTTCCCTAAACTTCACATCAGAGTCCCCTTTTTAAATCAGGAGCACCCCTTCACATTTGAGCCCACCCCTTTCACATCAGGTGCCTTCTCCTATCATATTAAAGCCTCACTTCATATCAGAAGCCCCCCCTTAACATAAAAAGAACTCTTCACATCAGAATCCCCTTTTTCATATCAGAGCTCCTTTCAGATGAGGATTCCCCTCCTTTCACATCAGAGTCCTCCCTTCACATCAGAAGCCCTTCCTTCACATCAAGAGAAC